TTAAGACGTGTGATCAATATGGTTGGTATTTATACCTTTCTTTGCCCTTCCTGTCACTGCGCTCCTGCAAACAGCACAACCATAGCTGGCAATAATGATTTCCAGGGACCCCGGACACTCAGCAAGTTTTAGATGACAACACCGCTAAAAGCCAGATTATATCAGAAATGGCTTAGTGTGCATTCATTATCACTGGTTTTCTGTTGACATCCATAGGGAGCATGTGTTTCTAAGAAAATATACATAATGATTCAAAAAACTTTAAGCAAACCTTTCCTTTATCCCCGTGCCTTAGGCCTCGTTCACACCAGATACAGTGCATTCTGGCCAGAACACACTGGATCGCATTGCGGCCAGTTCAGTATGTTGTCCGGCAGGAGGGGGCGTTGGCGGTCCATTGATGTGAATGCACCGTAGCCACGCCCTCCGGCCGCAATGCGATCGGCCGCACTGGATTGCAAGGCACATTATGCCTGCGGTCCGGTCTGAACAAAATGCTGCAAGCACTATTTTGATCGGACCGGACCTCAGTAATAATGTGCCTTGCGATCCCGCGCGACCAATCGCATTGCTGCCAGAGGGCATGGCTACGGTGCCATTCACATCAATGGACCGCCACGCCCCCTCCTGCCCCACAACATAGTGACCCGACCAAAATGCGATGCAATGTGTTCTGGCCAGAATCGGGCCGGAACGCATTGTATCTGGTGTGAATGAGCCCTTAAATCTGAACTCCGGCCTTCCCCTGCACAGTTGTACTGGCTCCTCTCCTGGACTGAAATCGCTTACACTGATCTCACTGAAAGATGAGCTCATCATTGTGCTGCTTCTCCTTTTACGGTCCAAACGCAGGCTGGGGGACAGATCCAAGACTGTCTTGGCGCACAGGAAGTGGGTTGAATGATGATGGCCATAAGACTGAGGACTTTAATATCCCTTTAAATGAGTTTTTGGGCATCAAAATGAACTCTACCGTCTGTTTTTGGTTTTTTTTCCTAATTCTAGTAGCTGCCCGCGTTGTTATAAATGACAGGTCCACTTAAATCATGTCGGGTAGACCTGAGCTTCCCAGGTGTCGCTATAGTCTGTGCCCTCGTCTTCTTCCTTATCCACATGTTTTTTATATCCCGTCTTTGAGAACAAAATGTTCCTTTTTTTTTTTTCCCTCCTCCTTTTCCCACAAGTTACGCATTTCATTGAGAGTGAAAACTTCTGCAGACTTCCCGCCATTAACTCCCTCCGAGCCGCTCCGTTTATTTGACCGATCGAAGCCTCCTTCGTCCAGCAGCTGAAGATCATTTTTGCAATTTTACAGACAGATTTTTTATTTTTTTTCCGTTGGGCATCAGAAAATAATTTGCTTTCTGAATTGGAGAAAATTGTTTTCATTCTCTTTGATTTTATTATACAATTAGTATCGATGGAAATAGCCGTGTTCTAATATGACAGAGATTTCAAAGGTTCAGCCCACCCCAAACCGATATTCAGATGTAGGTAGTTAAAGGGCCAATTGAATAAATATTCAATTGGCCCTTTAATATGAACGAAAACTAAAAACGTTCATTCGTTTCATCAAACAAAACAAATGTTTTCGGTCAATAGTCAGATAGACATTCTATTGTGGACCTCCGGTTGTGTAGTCCTATATTCAGGCCATGTTCTTCAATGCGCCCCCCTCCCCACAAAACAACCCCCCCAATGGAGAATGATAACCAGATGGCAGGGTTAGTTTTAATTTTGTCCTTTTTTAAAAAAATGTGATCACTTTTTTATTTACTTTTTTACATTTTTAGTTATCTTATTTTTTACTTTTTGTTTTAATTTTTTTTACATTTTTTAAAATTATTATTTAATAAAAGAACGCACCTGAAGTCTTATTACCAGTGATCTAGGCAACATCGCCGAGATCACTTGTAAACGAACGAGTGGCTTCCCCGCTCCACATTTTAGCTCTGTTTGCCCAAAGCCGGGCCTTGTGGAAAATCCAGCCCTGCCTACATCTACTTTTCTGCTATAGCTGTTGTGCATTGTGTGTATATATGACTGTGCAATGCAATAGGCCCCAGAGTGTGACCATGCTGTGTAGGGCCTCTGTACTCTGTACCTGGTCAGGCACGCCTCCTCTCTGCCATGCACTACAAGTGGGGGGGGGGGCTTTGCTTATCCATGCCAGCATAGAGCACTGGAGTGTGGAAAGCAGCTTTTAAAGTAGTATTAACTTTTTTCAATAATATATATCCTGATCACACAAAAATACATTGGGGCAGCACAGTGGTGTAGTGGTTAGCACTTCTACCTTGCAGCTGATCCGAATCCTGGTCAGGTCACTATCTACAAGGCGTTTGCATGTTTTCCCTGTGCTCCTGTGGTTTTCCTCCGGGTACTCCGGTTTCCTCCCACACTCCAAATACATGCTGGAAGGCTTCTGTCTACATCGGCCCTGTGTGTGTGTGCAATAGGGACCTTAGACTGTAAGCTTGTTGAGGGCAGGGACTGATGTGAATGTGCACTGTGTAAAGCACTGCGTAAATTGTTGGCACTATATAAAACTACTGTAATAAAAGAAATGGTACAGCAAAGTATTTGTTAACATTTTTGTCCGTGCACTTATAATCTTCATTTGTCCGAACAGCTCCAATTCTTTCAGCTCAGCTTCCCTGCTCTCAGCTCAGGTTCCCTGAACATCCTGTCCAATAAAAGCTCACAATGGGACTGCACAGTCTCCAGCAGATGCCCATCTACTAGCTTGTAGAAGGGAGGAGCAGGGGAATGGCTTGCCTTGCTGTGCCTGTGTGTTTGTGGGGACACACACAGCTTACTAGCACATGCAAGGGTGGCCACCTTTAAACACGAAGTCAGGACCGGTGCTCAGGGGACCAGCTGATTCTGCAGGAAACTAAAACTGTTAAACATCAAGGAGCCGTATCCATTGTAAGTGATTGCATCAGCATTTCAAATAGCATAAAATCCTTTTGACTTTAATATCACTTTAACCACTTGAGTCCCATTTTAAAATGGCGCTAGGATTGGCGGCTATTCATCCCAGCGCCTTTTTAAAACTGCTGATTGCTGCCAGCACTAGATCACTAGGGGATAATTATTAGTAGTGATCTAACAGATAATTCTTAGAAGTAGTATGCTGCTGCACATCTTAAGGCCTGGTTCACACCTGGGCGTTTTACAGCGTGTCCCTACGCTCTGTAAAACGCTCAACATGTGAAAACCAATGATTGCCTATGGGCATGGTTCCCACCTGGGCGTTTTACAGCGTATAGGAACGCGCTGCAAAACGCCCTACGCCCAAAGGAGTACAAGAGCTTCTTTGGGGCGTATTTGCCGCGCGTATCTATTGGGATACAGCCAGGTAGCCCTCGGAAACGTGCGTTTGTTGCGCGTTTTTTTTACCGCAAATCGCGGTAAAAACACGCGGCACGAAACGTGCGACAAACGCGCCTATTCGATACGCCTAGGTGTGAACCTAGCCTAAGGGGGGTTGTGGATCAGGTCTGCATTGACGAGATCCAAGATTTAAAAAAAATAGAAACAAACAATGATGGGGTTCAAAGAGCAAGTCATGCACACGCGCCTATAAATGATGATGGCTTTCCCTGGAACGCAGGGGGTTAATCGGTTGCATCATGTACACAGGGCAGCCAGGCAGAGAGCAGCGGGCAGGTGTTGTCTTTAAGCTATTTTTGGGGTTTGGGATCCGGATGGGTCATAGCCAGGCTTACCTCATCGCCGCATCCGTGGGAAAGTTTACACAACTCCAATCTTCTCAATAGTCCAGCAGGCCCTCTGGGGAGCTCTCACAGCGCCCCCCCCCACGCGCGCGCCGCTGCCAGAGACCGCATCAATGGCGTCCCATGCATGCAATGAGGTCAGTGTCAGTCGTTTCATTAAAAGCACATCAAAAACATGTTAAATCTTCAGCCTGCCCTGTCAGGAGGATGATTCATTTTTTTGTGGTGAATAACTTTCACAATTCCCAGTCGCCCTCCACGTCCACTCTCACAGCTTGACCTGTTGTTGGAATGCTTGCTTGCATCGCATTCAAAGGAGACCTGTGCTAAGAGAATGATGGAGACCGTAGGAGTGCCGCCTTTATTTTCTCCATTGGTGATATTAAAGTCAAAAGGTTTTTAAGCTGTTTCAAATGCTGCTCCTTGATATATAAAAGTGTTAGTTTCCTGCAACTGATTCCCTGAGCACTGGTCCTGATATCCTGTTTTTGGGGGGCTTCTTTACCCTTGTGTGTGCTAGTAAGCTGTGTGTGTCTCCACAAACACACATGCACAGGAAGACAATCCATTACCTTGAACCCTACTCCTCCCTCCTCCAAGCTAGTAGATGGACACTGCTGTGTCCCTTGTGATCTTGTACTGGACAGGAAGTTCAGGGAAGTTGAGCTGAGAGTTGAAGCTGTTCAGAAACATGGTGACTGTAAGTTTTTGGGCAGAAAATAAATTCTTTGCTGGTCGATGTATATTTGTTTGATCTGGATTCAGACTTGGAAAAAAAGTTTGAGAGTTTAATACTACTTTAAAGCCCAACTATAGGCAAATGTTGTCCGTTTCCCCATCGCTTCCATCTACAAAACCGATTAAAACTCAACAGC